CTCTCTCTCTCTCTCTCTCTCTCTCTCTCTCTCTCTCTCTCTCTCTCACACACACACACACACACACACACACACACACACACGTTTGCAGGTTGATACTTCTTTTTCCTCTCTTCAACTGACTTTATTGCACACCATTTATAGCTCTCCAAACCTGCGCCATGAAAGCTTCTCCTTTCCAGGGTGACATTATCAGGGAATTAACAGGCTGTCTAGTTAGATAAAGCGCTAATGAGGGCACTGAGCCCCTAAAAGGACTCTGATGACTTTGTCCAAGGTATGGGTTTTTTTAAATTAGTTTTTCCATAGAAGACTAACTTCATAGCAGAAATACACCTGTCACTGCATCTTTATATTCTGTCACCTAGAAATCCATCTGTTTTGTGTATTTAATTGTCTAAGTACCTTCTCTATTTACCTTGCAGATTAATTTTTAGGATGAGGTTACAAGACTTAAAGTAGATTCAGTAACTTGTTGTTTTCCAAGACATAAAACATATGGGGTTAATATATAATCCAATTTGGATTAAAATCAATGACAAAACTTTCATCCGCTGTAATTGGTCAGGATAGCTGTCTTAGTCCAACCCTCCATTTATAAAACTGCAAGAAACTTTGATCCGATCCGTAGTTCTATTACCTTTGCATGTTGTTAGTCAACAACCCCCTCTCCAATGTTACCACTGCCCTGAATACTTTATCATATTGGCTAATCGTGGTAAATACAAATCATTTGTTTGAAAAATAAAGGTACAGATTACAGTATTGATGATGAATGTAAATGAAAAGGCAATTTCCAAAGCCTTCCTTTCCAACTGAGTGAAATCGGAGTCACCTCCCAGAGTGGGACGTCTTTTTTCCCCGTTCTTCTATTTTAAGTTTCTTTCTGGAAATCTTACAGGCTTTATCTTAATCTTCTCTTTTTTGAAGATTATATTTCTGAAAATAGATAAGATAAATCTCTGAGGAACACGTAGGAGAAACTTGACTCGAAGAATTCCTGCTTGAAATGAGTCTCCTTCATTGGAAATTCTAATTTGGAAATGTAGAAGCTATTTTTGGCTTGGCAACTTGTTCTTTTGCTATCTGGGGATATCTCCTCTGTGTTCCTGTCTATTACCTCTGTTTGCATTCTGAGGCATATAGTTCCCAGCCCTACATAAGGAGGGATTAAAACACGGCCTTTGGGCTCACATTTGTCTTCTGACCTGGTTAAGCTTTTGTACAGACAGTCAGGAACAGCATTTCTTTGTTTACTGGTACAGCATCAATCAGATTACCTGTGGATTGAAGCCAGGATATAAAGACCAGCCAACAGGCTCCCCTATGTGATCTTTGGGACCCTTCAGTAACTGTTGCTAAACTGATCAGTTGGAGATCAAAATAAAGTCTTTCTATATTTGAAGTCTATAGTTGCATTCTGCTCCAAGACATAACAGCCTATTATGGTAGGGGGCATTTATGAAAAATTGTGAAAGAACAAAGCCAACAAAAACAGAGCAGTTAGAGAGGTACAGAAAAGAATATTGTTATTATTTTAAAAAGACATATTTGTAGATATTGTACTCTCAAATTGCAAATGGAGACGTGGGTACTCTATATCTTTCTTATCTTCATTTTTAAGTGCTTTGGTTTTATTGTATTGCGAACAGTTGCTGGGGTGCATCCACAGTTTTGTTGTACTTGTACAATGACAATAAAGTTATTCTAATTCTAATTCTAATTGGTCAAAGTTTAGGTGTTCAAGAGCTCCACTGAGACCGACCACTCTGTTCATTAAGTTAATCTGGGAACAATATGGTAAAATAATTCAAAATTGGGCTGTGTCTACGTGTTCTAGGATAAGTTCGTATTCCAAGGTAGAAAATGTATTTCAAGAGTTATGGATAAAAGGACTGGGTTTTTTAAGTGCCTAGAACATATATGGCTTCAAATGAGTCACACTTGCAGTTTTTCAGTGTCTTGTCATTGTTGGCTTGAGCTATGAATAATCCTAATTAATATTTCATTACACGAATATTCTTGTTTTTTAGCCATCTTCTTCTATAGTATCAATTATTACAGCCTCTGGTTTTCAATCTAGTCTACATGGCAGAAGACTGATGTCTAAATTTGGTTACAATTCACTTATTGTGACATTTCAATAGAGGTTTGCAATTTCAAGCACATTTACCCAATTAGTCTCTGCATTTTTCACACAAACTCCTTTAAAGAATTTGCATTAAACAAATGACAACACATAAAAGCTAAATTAAAATATGCAGCAAACTCACTGAAACAGCACTATCTACCCACCCCCTTTTGAAATTACAACTTAGTGTAAGGATCCAAGTCTCTCAAAATCCATCTTAGCTGTTTTAATCACATTCCATTTTAAGGTATTTTTACATATTAATTTTCTGTTGTCTGAATTTGTAATTAAGAACTGATGAAAAAAATTGAAATGCTGTTTTTCTATTTAAATAGCAATGCTAGATAAATATTAAAAGTGCCAGATCATAAGGTAGTGGGAATTCTACTTCCATACAATACAGCAGGGGTCCCCAACCACCGGGCTGCGGACCGGTACCGGTCCGTGGAACATTTCCTACCGGGCCACCGGTTTGCTGGGTGCCGCCATCTTGTTTGACGAGAAAGTGCTTCCGGGTGAGCTTTTCCAGTTGGAAAGCAGCGTTTGGGTCCTGAAGGAATCCTCGCGCCTTAGTTTCATCGAAGGGGGGGGGGCTTCGAATGAAACTAAGGCGCGAGGATTCTTTCAGCACCCAAGGCAAGGCGAGCTGAGCGACCGTCCCGAAGCCGTCCCGAAGCGAAGCCCATCGACAAAGGTACAAAGGAGGAGTTGAAGGTGGCGGGGAGAAGCGGGGGACGGCTGGCTGGCTGGTCGCTCGGCTCGCCTTGCCTTGTCATGCGTGCTGATGCCAGTACCGGGCCACGGATCATTTTGTGATGCCGGTACCAGGCCGTGGCACAAAAAAGGTTGGGGGCCACTGCAATACAGTATTATAAGATGTATAAAATGTACATATATTATGAACATTTACTAACAAAATTTTCTTTAAAGAATACATGCAGATTTAACACCAAATAGTCTTGATAATTAGAAAATTATATTTAAATCTTACAAGATTTGATTTAGAATAGCACTCTATGCACTGAAGTTTGTCTAAGAACATGACTTTTCTTTTATAAATTTTATTTTTTACAGCAGAAAGCAACTAAACAAACTGAGGACATTTAAAAGGATTGGAACATACATCAGAAAAACGTGTATCATGCTAGTATTAAGTACCTTTGTCATTCCTATGAACTCTCTGAGACACACAGAAACATAGAATTATAGGGCTAGAAGGGACCTTGGAGGTCTCCTAGTTCAACTCCTTGCCCAAGGCAGGAGACCTATACCATCCAAGGCTGTCCAATCTTTTCTTGAAAACCTCCAGTGATGGAGCATGTATTTGAGAAAAACTAATGAAGTACTACCTTTTTAAAATTAATAACCTTGCACAAATTAAACAATCTTAATTACTTACAACCATATTATAGGCATCAGGAACCTCTATTTCAAACTGAAATGTTCCATTTCGATAATAGCCTTCATCTGTTAAGAAAAACAAACAATATGAGATTCTATAGAAATATTAGTTTACATTTTATAAACAGAAATAATTCTAATTTTGATAACTAGCATGGGTTACGTTTAGTCAACAAAAACTGAAAACACCTGCTTTGTTTTATCAAAGTAGAATATTAAAATGGACCATGAAGGTTATGGAATTTTACAGAATAAAAATTATATAAATGTATATTATTGTTATGCCTATGGAAGTAATACTGGAAACAATAAATAACATTAAAATTGGAAGTGCCTGGCTAAAATAACTGCAGTTATTGTATACAATATAACTTCAATTTGATAATGCAACTAGGATAGGTTGTCTTGAGTTTAGAAAATGTATATTAAATATATTAAAAAGCAATTATTTTGGGGTACAATGAAAGGTACAAAATAGTCAGTGAATAGAAGATTTGCTATAGTACATTTTAGTTGAGAGGAATTGCAGGGAATATAAAAGGGAAATTAATAAAGAGGTTGTAAATACTTTGAATAGTTGAACTTTGAGGGACAACATATTTAATAAAGATATTCAGTTAATAATGTTAAAACATTATTTCTGCATTAAAAACTTTATCTATTACCAGCATATTTGGATAATTTGTAAGCTTAAAATTTGACCAAGACACAAAACATAATAGTTTTGTAAACTTACATAAGTATCACTACAAGATCATGGCCTTATAGTGCTGGACACTACAAATCCACAGAAGATAACAGAAAATCTAGATGTGGGTCAGGCCTGTCCCAGCTTGGGCATTTAGGAAAGAAAAACCCTTGACTCCATTTATAGAGAAAAGATATGCTTTTACTAAAGCCAAACGGTTACAATGTACAAAGCCAGATCTGAATATTCCTGTATAAGCCCTGTGTTTTTTCCTCTGTCCCAGATCCTCCCGGGCCTTCCCCCCTTGGTCATCTGGTCAGCGTCCAATAGCATTCAAATTAGATGTTTTGGTAACAATCTCAACAATTATGTCCTTGGATCTCTTGTTGTCATTCCCTTCTCAGTGTTTCCTCCCCATTTCCCCACTCCCCCTTTTTATGGCAGGATGACATCAATGCAAAGCAAAGCTGAAGAGAATGGCAGATCTGACAATATTGGGTTCATATTGGAATATTGGATTCCATGTTTGTATCTTGCAGAAATATATTGGTATATGCTTAAAAAACTATATAAGAAATATCCTTAAGTACAAAGGGTTAAGTGTTTATTACTAACTTTAAACATATTCATACCTTTTATAATCTTTTTAACATCATGGCCAAACAATTCAGCCTTAATAGATACTTTGATTGTCACACATTTAAATCCCTTTTTTTCCCAAGACATTTTGAGCAGTCCTCCTTGGAGATCCCTAGTGTCTTGTTGCTAAAACTAGCAAGAAAATAGTGGGGAATTGATTCAAGGCTGAAAACAGGACCCTGCTCATGGTCAGGATAAACTCTTATAAAACCAAATGAGGGAAGGACCAGAGATACTAGGGCAAGCATAAATAATGACAATGCAGTGATGACCAGTCATTTTCAAATCAAGTCCCTATTTTGGGAACTGTACAATCAAAAGCACACAATTCAGTAAGAAAAGAAACTGAGGTCATCAAGAACTTGGAGCTATACTACCACAATGCTTTATTATGCAACACCAGTACTAAAATACAATTATAATGAACTGAGTTCATTGTTTATGAATTACTGTTTCAATAACTAATCACTATACCTTGTTTCATATTTAGAATAGAATAGAATGAACTGGAAGGGGCTTTGGAGGTCCTCTAATCCAGCTCCCTGCTCAAGCAGGAGACCCTATACCATTTTAGATAAGTGACTATCTAGACTCTTCTTAAAAACATCCAGTATTGGAGCACCCATGATTTCTGGAGGCCAGCTTGAATTCCAACAAGCTGGTTAATTGTCCTCACTGTTACGAAGTTTCTCCTTAATTCCAGATTGCTTCTCTCTTACTAATCAGTTTCCAACTATTGTTTCTTGTCCTGCCCTCTGGTGCTTTGGAGAATAATTTGACCCTCTCTTCTTTGTGGCAGCCCCTCAAATACTGGAATACTGCTATCTTGTCTTCCCTAATTCTTCTTTTCTTTAGACTAGCCAAACCCAAATCCTGCAACCATTCTTTGTTTTAGTCTCCAGGCCTTTGAACATCTTAGTTGCTCTTCTCTGAACTTTTTCCAAATCTCAAAAGTCTCTTTTTATAGCATGGTGACCAAAATTGGTTGCAGTATTCCAGGTGTGGTCTTACTAGGGTTTTATAAAGTGGTACTAGTACTTCACATGACCTTGATTCTGCCTGTTTATACAACCCAGGACTGTATTACCCTTTTTGACTGCTGCTGTACACTGCTGGCTCATATTCAAATGATCATCCACTAGGACTCCAAGGTCCCTCTCACAGTTACTGTTTTTTTTAAATATAATTTTATTTATAATTTTTTCTTTAACATCCATAAGTGCTTTGTGAACAGTTTATTATCTGGGTCAAAATATTTTGCATATACTTCTGATAGTGATACTACCATTTAGATATACATAATCATACTTTTTCAACTTCTAACATTTGTGTATACACAGTAATCATAATATTATTTTCCCAATTTCTACTTTCTACTTCTTTTTTCTAACCATATTAAAGAGTATTCTATGTCTATCCATCATCTCTTGCCTTTTTTAGAATTTCAACTCTTAATAACTTTTTTGTGAATCTGTCCTGCTTCTGTTCTGTTATCTTGTAACTCCTTGTCATTTTTGCTTAATCTAAATATTTCCGCTGCCACAGCATCTGTCTCTTGCTATTTTTCCCTCAACATTTCCTGGTTTCTCCTCTATTTTCTGAATTTTTTGTTTGTTTTTTATTGTTATTTGCTGGGAGTTTCCTAATCTCATTGTATCTTGCATCAATTCCATCATCTCCTTATGATTCCTTGTTATAGCTTCTTTAATACATTGAAACAACATTATTTCTTTATAGACTGCATTTGTTTTCTCCTGCTGAGACGTTTTGTGCTGATATACTACAATATCCCAATTGTCCAGAAACACCAAACACACTAGTATTAATAAAATTTACATGGTCCTGGAACTGTTCCTCAAACTTCCCTAAATGTATAGTCTTTACATTTTTCTAATTTGTACCCCCCGAATTTTCCAAATTTTAAGTCTTATTTTTCTTCTTTCTTCTTAGTATTCCAAAATGGCCCACCAAATTTCCCCAAATGCCTTTAATCACAAAGTCAGATATGCAGTTTCAAAGATGTTTCTTGTTCATTGTAATCCACCTTGCTTTAAAGATCTTCAAACAGCTCCCTAATACTTCCAGGCAACCAAAACTCCAGTTGATATGGAACCAAAATAAAAAGGCTTTCCAGGTATTGTTTGTCTTTCATTACGCCTCTTTGTTATTCTTGTATTATATAAAGAAAATTTTTAGTCTAAGGTTATTCCCACAAAACACTAATAATATTTTTTGAACCAGTAGATGATGTCCCCGCTGTAAATCCAGCTTTAAATACCACAAAACTTTTTTTGTGGAGGGGAGATAGGAAAAATGAAAAGTGAAATTCCTCTTTCTTTGGACTAATTATTCCAATGATGAAACAATATTATCCACAAATTAAATCCTTTTCAACTGCTAACAGTTCCAGCCCAGTTCTTTATTGTAAAGCTTCACAATCTTCCCTTGATAGTTACTGTTTTGAGTAAGGCCTCGCCTAATCTATACTTATATCTTTGATTTTTTTCCTGCCTAAATATAAAACTTTGCTTTTCTCCATATCAAAATTCATTTTGTTGGATAGGGCCCATTGTTCACGTTTGTCAAGATCTTTTTGGATCATGAGCTTGTCTTCTGGGGTGTTGACTATCCCTGCCAGTTAATTATTCATCTATTTGAAGTATATAGTTATTTAAATGCAGACAGTTACTTGGATGTATTTATTATAAGCACTATCATTAATGTTGTTATAACTAGACTCTGGACATTATTAAGTCTAAGATAACAGAAGCAGCTGCTTATTTTGTTAGCTTCTACAGCTATTGATCTGCAGTTAGAGTATTTCTTTCAATTTGGAAGGTAGGAATAAGATGGAAGTACAATAACAAAGCACTATATATGGAAAGCTCTAAGCAGTCTATTTTTTAAAATATACACTATATTTCTGATGCTTCAAGGGTTGTGTTTTCAAAGAAAGTCACAGTTTGAAGTCTTATTACTTTATGATAGAGCAATTAGTTTAATAGACCAAGTTCATTTATCCCATTAAAGCATTTGGCAATGTCATAAGATGCTTATGGACAAGCTGGATAATGTGGGCTAGAAAATATTGTGATCTAACTGATTTGCAAGTAATTGCACTAAAAGAGTAGATATAAATGGCTCTGCATTATTTGTGTGTGTGGGGGGGGGGAGAATTACATTGAATGCCTAGGTTATGTGATGGCTAAAGGGTCATAGCCGTGTCTTGCATACTTATCACTTCAGCGATCATCTACTTATTGAGCTTTCCTAACTTTCACTTGAATTCTAAGAGAAGATACATTAAGGAAAATTCTTTGTTAAGCCATGTTGATGGAAGGTGAGGTTGCAAAGTAATAGGAGATGTATAATTAAAAAATGGAAAACGAAGAAGTCACTACTGTCAACTCTGGATACTGCTTATAGCCATTGAAATTCTTTTTATTCTGCTCTGAATTTCCATCTGATGCTTATATATGCTTATGAGTATCCTTTTGGACAAAATGTGGTTCAGCGAGAACCATACAAACAATGTCTCTTTTTATGTAGTCTCCTTCTTTTGAAGAGCTCCAAAAGAAAAATCAGTAGCCCAAAACAATTATAAATGACCTAATGAAATCCTTACCAAATTTGCACATGATCTTAACAGGGATTGTACAATTCAATATTATCTCAATAGACTTGAATTCTGAGTAAAATTCAGTAAGAAGATATTCAATAAGTGGGGTAATCAAGATTC